CTGGAAAAGCTAGCTGTCTCTAATAAATCATTTAAAGCCTTCAGGTTTCAGTCACATAAAAATGGGTCCTCACCACGCTTTTCTACATCATCAACCTCCTACTTGGTATCAGTAATAACCATTTTTTTAAATATTTTATTATTTACTTACATTTTTTTTTTTTATTTACCTGAAAATGTCCATTCCCTCTGCTGCGCTTTGTAGCTTCTTCTAGGAACAATGGAAAAGGCTGGAGGATTAGAAATCCTACTCCAAGAATCACATTCCATTTTTAGAACTCTGGCATTCTCAATAATTCCACTTTTTCCCAGTAAGTCAGAGATGCCTTGTTCTTGAAACACATCTGAATTTTCTTGACATGTCTTTGTTTCTTTAATTAACTGCTCATCTGCCTCTTTCTTACATTCCTGTGAAGTTCTAACAGATTTCCGTGTCAAGGGGCCCTTCAGATGTTTTCTCCATCTCTCCCTAATGCTGTGCTTCTCCAGAGAGTCTCCACATCCCTTCTCCTTTGCTTCAGGCTGTGGATTAGATTGCTGCTCCACAACTTTGCTCCCTGATAATCTGAGTTTACTTCTTTCCTTAGAGATGACTAAAAATTCATTTGATTTTTCCTCTGGATTACCTAATCCTTTTTCCTGTTCCACCTTCACCTCACCAAGTTTTTGAAGCTGTACTTTACTTACATTTTGGACTGTCTTATTACTGGCTTTTTCAGAAATGGTCCTAACTTCAAGAATGGTCATTTTTTCCTTTGAACTAGTATGATTCCTAGTCCCACACTCTTCATTAATGTCTTTATCGTCTTCACCTGTATGTGACCCAGTGATACAAGAGTGTTCAGTAGGTTTGACAGTTGAAGAAACAATTTCTGTAAGGCATTCTTCATCCAAATGATCTCCCCCATGTTCCAAGGAATCATTTAGGGTTTCTTCTGAGACAATAGCTCCTGAGTTTTGCCTTATTATATTAGCCTCAGGGTCTACAGCTTCTCCTTCTGAATGCAGAGCCTTCTTAGTTTCCTGCTCTCTTTTTATAGACTTTGTTTCATCTTTCTGATCTGCATTCTGGGATTCTCTCTTCATCTGAAGGGAAGCAACATGTTGAAGAATGGAGCTAGGAACAGGCTTTTGTCCTGGGAGCTGAAGCAAAGCAAAACTACCAGACTGGAGAGGAATAAGACTGGCTGTACCAACAGGCTGTCCTCCTGAGCTATAAGTTATTTTGGTTTCAGAGCCTGTTTTACTTGCAAAGCTTTGCGGTTCAGGAGGAGAAATCCTCAGGGTCAATGTGCCAGCCTGAGACACAAAACTAGGTCCAGAGGAGAGCAGTGATGGTGCCTGAGTGATAACATTCACTGCTGAAGAACCAACAGCCTGAATTACAGGATTCACGACAGAAAAAGCAGAGGATGAAGTGGAAGATGGTGGAGTCTCAGAAGGTTTGGAAGGAGCAGGTAACCGGATTCCCACCACAGACCCTGTTTAAAAAAAAAAAGAAAGAAAGAAACTTTTAAATCACCACTGCCCATGTCAAGATTTCCACGGTATGCTTTTCTTTTTGGTCAGGTGACTACAAGACACTAAGAAAAACAACTCTGGTGTATTAACCAACTGAGTCAACAAAAAAAATTCATCACAAAGATCTCCAATTTCATACCTGGGTTCCGAAACATGACAGGCTGTAAATTGGGCTGGGTATTTGAGCCTCTAAGCTGATGCAAAGGTAGGAGCTGGACAATTTGCCCATTGGGGTGCCTAAATAGGTTCATTCCACTTGGACTCCTAACAGGCTGCAAGATCATCCGATGTCCCTGAAGTTGTGTGTTTGGGACAGCTCTAAGAGTAGGAGAACTCTGCTGCACTGGAATTAGTAACAGCCGAGGTCCAGGACGTTTCACTGTGTTTGGAGAGACCTGTGGAGCAGCCACTGGAATTTGAGGGGCATTTTCTGAAAAACAGGAAATGGAAACATAGTATCAAAAATTCCCCTTTAACATATGTAAGAAAAAAACTATCAAGATCTATGCTGTAAGTAACTTCTTTTTTTGAGACAGAGTCTCACTTTGTTGCCCAGGCTAGATCAAGTGCCATTGCATCAGCCAAGCTCACAGCAACCTCAAACTCCTGGGCTCAAGCAATCCTTCTGCCTCAGCTTCCCAAGTAACTAGGACTATAGGATGTGCCACCATGCCTAGCTAATTTCTTCTATATGTATTAGTTGTCCAATTAATTTCTTTCTATTTTTAGTTCTTGAAACACATCTGAATTTTCTTGACATGTCTTTGTTTCTTTAATTAACTGCTCATCTGCCTCTTTCTTACATTCCTGTGAAGTTCTAACA